ATATGTTTAACTTAATACTTAAAATTAAAAATTTCTTATGCAATTATCATTTTTCAACATAATTTTTAATGAATCAAGACTTTTAACTATATGGATGTTCCAATCTTGATTTAATTATTTCTCTTTCGTCAATAGTTTAGGGACTTTGTTGTCCTTTTTACTTTTTTTTAAATCCTTACCTGAGCATATGCTTAATTGATTTGAGAGAGAAACAGAGACAGAGAGAAGACAGACAGAAAGAGAGAAACAGATGTGAGAGAGAAACACTAATCAGTTGCCTCTCATATGCATCCCAACCAGGGATCAAAACCACAACCTACATGGAATCAGGCCCACAACCTTTTTGGTGCACAGGAAGTTGCTCCAATGGGTCTGGGCTGCCTGTCACTATTTGAACCAATCAAGTGTTGTAGAAAACTGGAGAAGAACCAAGCAATACTTAGAGAGATGGAGTTATGTTTATTATGCTTGGGTCCAGAGGAAAATGTCTCTCAAATTCTGGTCCCCAACATGGAGGAATGTTCCTTATTTATATGTTTTTACCTTCTTTATCTCGCAAATATGGGGTGTTCCCGGCCCCCTTTGCAAGTTCTTAAAAAGCCTCTATGTGTTGGGGCTTTGAGACCTCAACCAAAGGCCTGGCCTGGTGCCAGCACTGATAATTTGGTCCAGGGAAGGTTTTAATGGCCTCTCTGAAGTGGAAGTAGTCTTGTTTTCCTTATTATTTAAGCAAATAAGCATTTACAGAAGTCAAATAGCAGGGTTAAAATTTCAAACAGCAGTTTTTATATAAGATGGATGCTTCAAATGCCGAAACAGGATTGAATCATATAGAGAAGTGTTTATTCCAATACTGCCAGCAGTATGGGAGAGCAGCAGGTCAGCCATAAGAATCTGCTTTGCAACCTCCCATAAGCCAGCTGCTTATACAGATAAAACAAAGATTTCATGGGGAAGTAGGGCTAACAGGCAGGGGAAAGCAGGATATGCAGGCTGGGGTGGGACTCCATTGTTTGGACAACAAGATTGTTAATCTTTCCATGATAATAGGCAGTTCTTGAATGAGAGTGGACTGCATTCCAAGGTTGACCCCAGGTCCCAGGGATGTACAACTCCCAGCCAGGTTAGAATGTCCTTTCTTTAACCAGAACAAGGCAGTAACAGAGCATGATTAATATTTCCCCATAACCATAGTTAGTCCCCAATATTCTATTTTTGCCCCTACTATAACCAACTGAGCCACTAGGCCAGGGCAAGTAGAATGTTTTATAAGCTTAACTGCGGGTCAAGGAAAAAAGAGAATTAAGAATGCCATTTTCTCAGATAGCAATAATAATACTTGGGTTGTGACCTCACAAATTTTGGAAGCCTGAACTCTGTTAGCCAAGTTGACCAAACCAAGGAGATCACATCCAGATATAGCTATAAGTTCATTTAGCTCAGGAACATTGTCCAAAAATGAAGTCTACAATATTAATAATTTATTGAAGTATGAGGAATTTTTATTTTATATTACTTATAATGGTAATATGTTTGGGTGACTGATGCTTCTCATCTGACTAGAACTTTCAGGGACTTCCTGGGTTGGACACTGAAGTCCCAAATCCCAGGCAACTCCCCCGTTCTCAGACAAATCAGGGCAGGTGGTCAAAACACCAATATATTTTTGATAAGCTGCCATTTCAAAAATGGTTTTACCCACTTAAAATGAGCAAATTAAAAAGTGTAGGTTAAATAAATTACGTTCTTTTTAAACATAAAGCCGTATTTATGGTTTTTATTTAAATATATTAAGTGGAATATGGAAGAATGTACTGTATATTTTAAGTAATAATGTTATTTTTACTGTTCACTATTGACTAACATTTTAATTTGTTCTATTTTTACCTTAATGTGCAAAGTGCCTTTTAAATTGTTAATTATGTTTTTTAGGACCCTAACGAATATGTTCTGTGCCCATGGACACTCCCCTTCAGAACTCCATAGAAGTCAGTAGTTGTCCACACTCAGAATGAAGCATCTATTTCTAATGCTGCTTCAAGGCAGTGTGTCAGATTTAAGATCTGTATTATCTCTGAGACAGGACAGCATGTAGATAAATGTCTGATGGTCCAAGCTTTCAAAGAATGTCTCCATTTTTTCTGTGGATATGCATCCCTGCACAGCCACTGGGCAGGCTGGCACATGACACAGTTAAATACGATTCTGTTTTCTTAGCCCCTTCTACTTCTCCTTGGCCCCCGAATCTCCCCTCTTCTCTTTCCTGCTCTCTCCTTCATTGTTCATTTGGAAGATATACTTTTCACTGGGATTAAAACAGGGTTCGCATTTAAAATTTTTATTTACCAAACAGAAAAATATTTTACTAGAAGGGAATGGTAGTAAGGGGAAATGATTTTCTGCATGCCCAGAGGCCTGGAATAGACAGGATTTGATTTGCTATGTTCGGCTGGAATCTGGATTGATACGCAGCGATGAGAGGGGGTGTTTAATAAAATTTACATTTCATTTTCTCACTTGACACTAGTCTCCTGTCACTCATGGAACTGATGGGGATGCTGCAAATAGCTTTTGTTGAATCTAGCTGGGGAAACAGATTGGGAAATGGAAAGACAGAGGAGAGAGAGAGAAAAAAAACAACAGTTGGGATTGTTTTCATCTTGTGGGGACGGTTTTGGAGACAAATCCATTGTGGCTGGATGACCTGAGAGCCTCCACACTGAAGGGGAGAATGTGCAGGTGGAAACCTGGGAAGGCACCTGGGAACTGACGTGACCCAGCTGCCCACAGGGGGCCGTTGTGATGCTGAGGGGAACCTATGATTGAATGAGAGTTTAAGCTTTTGAAAGACTGGTGGTGATAAATGTCCAAAGATAGGAACAAGAGCAGAGGACTAAGCTCCCCACCATCATTTGTGTGTGTGTGTGTGAAACCTCAGTGTCTATATTAATTTGTTATTGCTGAATAACAAATTATCAGAAACTCAGTGACTTAAAACAATACCCATAGTGGAATATTATTTTATCTTAAAAAGGCAGGAAAGTTTGTCATTTTCAACCAATAAGGATGAGCCTGGAGAACATTTTCTAAGTGAAATAAGCCAAACATAGACAAATTATGTATGATCTCACTCATATGTGGAATATAAAATAGTCATAATAAAAAAATTAAAATTAAATGAAATAGTCATAATCATAGAAACAGAAAGTAAGAATGGTGATTGCCAGAGGGCAGGGGAATGAAAAAATGGGAAGATGATGGAAAAAGTATAGTTTTACAAGTTCTGAAAGTCTACTGTATAGCATAGTGCCTATACCAATAATAATGTATTGTACACTTAAAATTTTCTACTTGTGCCGAAACCAGTTTGGCTCAGAGGTAGAGCGTCGGCCTGCAGACTGAAAGGTCCTGGGTTTGATTCCGATCAAGGGCATGTACCTTGGTTGTGGGTGCATCCCCGGTGGGGAGTGTGCAGGAGGCAGCTGGTCCATATTTCTCTCTCATCGACATTTCTAACTCTCTATCCCTCTCCCTTCCTCACTGTAAAAAAATCAATAAAATATATATTTTTAAAAAATTTCTACTTGTATTGTACACTTAAAATTTTACTAACATAAGAGTCAATCTTATGATAGTTAAGTGTTCTTACTATCACTACTACTATTACTACTAATAGTAAGGAGGAGGGAAACGTGGGAGAAAACTTTTGGAGGTGATAGATATGTTTACTGTCTCCATGGTAGTTATAATTTCATGGGTGTATACTTATCCATTAACTATGTACAGCTTTTTACGTGTCAGTTGCACCTCAATAAATTAGTAAAATCAACAACAAAACACCACCTGTTTGTTAGCTTTAAGTTCTCTAGGTCAAAGGACTTCGAAGGCTCAACTGGATCTTTTTCTTAGGTCTCACAAAATTTAGGATGAGGAGCTAAAATATGCTTCTTTAAAAAAATATTTTATTGATTTTTTATAGAGAGGAAGAAAAAGAAGGATAGAGAGTTAGAAACATCAATGAGAGAAAATCATCAATCAGCTGCCTTTTGCACACCCCCTACTGAGGATGTGCCCGCAACCAAGGTACATGCCCTTGACCGGAATCAAACCTGGGATCTTTCAGTCCACAGGTCGACATTCTATCCACTGAGCCAAATCGGTTTCGGCTAAAATATGCTTCTTTACCACTTATTTATAAGGTCTATCCAGTGCCATAAAAGGAAATCAAGGAGAGAAGCAATCACAAAAGCCTAGAGAAAAAAAAGTGGTCTAAAAAGAGGAAGAGAAAATCTGGACTGGATGCTCCCAAGATACCATGTAAGATGAGGATAGAGAATTGTTCTCGAGAACTGGAAAAATGGAAGTGACTGGTGATTGCCATAAGAGCAGTCTCTGTTCTGTGGAAGGGTTGAAAGGCAGAGGGAAATTCATGTGCAGTGAATGAAAACCGAGGAAGTAATGAAATGCATGAATAAAAGTCTTTCAAACAATTTTGTTGGAATGCAAGTGAAAAACTGCGAAGAGATCTGAAGGGGCCTGTATAGAATCAAAGAATCAATCTTTCAAATCCTATTAGATTTCAGAAAGTCCTACAACTGCATTAAATGAGTCTTCTGTCCCAAAGCAGACCAGATTGATGGGCAGAATCTACATTCTCTTGAATTGTTCCAAGCAAAGAAACCCTGGTCTTTATTGGGAACTATAAATAACAAAGCCAGAAGAATATTTGTAAACAGGCAAGTCTGTGTTTTACCACTTAAATCTCATTCAACTTTATAGAAACGGTTTATTTTTTAACAAATTACATTCTGGAAATGTGACTTGTCTCTCAAAAATATATGTAATTAGTCACAGTGCTTTTGTGTATGCTGAAATCAACTGTTCTATACTTAGTAGTATAATTCCTTTTGCTTATAGCTCTTTCAAAGTTGACATTGATACATTATAAATTCCAGAAATAAAATATGAAATAAATGCATGAGTTGTAAAGACAGAATTAATTAAAATCCTTTACTGTTACTGACATATACAATTTTATAGAACCTTGACTGAATAATATTTGCATGTAATTTACATTCAATTTCCCCATACTCATTTTTAGAGTTTGCATACATTTCAATGTATAGTAATTTTATACATTGGGAGTCAGACAGCAAGACAGAAGAGAGTGATTCAACCACATAATAATGGAAAGGACTGGGTTCTGAGGGAGCTAAAGGCCTTTTGGTATTCAGTAGCCTCCTTGGGCAATAATATGGGCAGGTTTGCTGCAGGACACAACCCCAGTCAGATTGGCTCAGCCTCTTACTCTGAGACATGAAGTTTGGTCACAGTCTGGTACTTTCCCTGAACACAACCCCAAAACCCAAGAGAAGGTGGAAACTACCTTAATTCCCTTCATTCTTCTCTCAACTTTAATACCCATAAGCATTTACAATTCTTTTAAACTATCTAGAAATTTAGTTTGCTCAGAATCTTGGGGGAAAGGAGTTCACCATATATAGAAAATCAGAAATGGAAGGCAGAAATAGATTCTTTGGAATAACACAGGAACAAGATATTTTTCAATTGTTTATTTGAATAAAGGGCTGTTACTGCTGCAAAATATTTGCTGGATTACCTATAATCTTAATAAATTTAGGATTGGCTGGCCTATAGTTATCCTTTATCTAATTTGCTCATCTCTAGACATGAATGAACTATGAGCTGTTCTATTTGTTTCCAGCATTTACACAATAATCTCATTTTTTGAGAAGTAAAAAAAGGATGGGCTTAACTATGGTTTGGGCAATTCTGGCCAGACTCTGAAATTCCATGCCTTGTTTGAGAACTCTGCAGGTTACTCTGGGTGTTTGTGGCTGTTGTTCAGGCCCAAAGAGTCCATTCTGACCTCAGGGATCCTGGGCTTTGCTGGCGGTTGAATGAAAAGGCTAATTATAATTATGCCAAAACAGAAGGATAGAATCAAACTTGCCTTCCAGAAAGGTAAGTCATTAGGCATAAGGAGGATAGATAAGACAATAGTAAAAATTGGGAGAAGAGTAAAGAAGGAGTAGAAATAACAGCTGGTAGCTGACCCTTTGGGAAGGGTAAGATAGGACATGGAGTCATGATCCATTTCTAGATGTCTGGTCTGAGTGCAGGGACATGATGTACTGTGTTAGGGAAAGCATGAGGAGAAGGGGGCTGTGAGGCCATGTGAAGGCATAGTGGCTGTAGGACACCTGAGCAGGTAGTTCTCAGTGGCAGCTAAATATATGGCACAGAGCTCAGGAAAGAAATCTAGGCTGGAATTTGAGATGGTGAAAGAAGTCACCAGAGTAAAAGGGAGAATGTGTAGACAGACCTCAGTAGGTAGTGCTAGGACTGCTACCATTTATAATCCTCAAAAGCCTTGACTTCTAAAATGTTTTTATACAAAAAGATCACAGCTCTTTGACGACTAAAGTAAAGATTGCAAACAAAATTAATCATAGACTAGGAAGCTACAAAAACAAGATAAAGAACAGGTGATAGCAGGGGCAAATTAAACCAGAGAAGGCATAGTCTGCCTAAGCCTGTGGTCGTGAGCCACATGCGGCTCTTTGGCCCCTTGAGTGTGGCTCTTCCACAAAATACCACAGCCTGGGAGAGGCTATTTTGAAGAAGTGGTGTTAGAAGAAGTTTAAGTTTGAAAAGTTTGGCTTTCAAAAGAAATTTTAATAGTTGTACTGTTGATATTTGGCTTTGTTAACTAATGAGTTTGCTGACTACTCGCCTAAGCCATTCGAATTATTTTTTCTGTTATGTTTTTTTGATACCGTTGGTGCAAAAACAAAACCATATCTGCAAAGGGATTTACCCTTCAGGCAGCTATTTTGTGCCTCCACAGTTAATGTCTGTAGGTCAGATTGCCCATTCAGGCCCTCCTTAATCACAGAGAGTCTGGATTAAAATTTCATGAAGTACATCTAATTGTACCTCCCTCTGTATTCAACACTGTGCCATGAGGAAGGCTGCCTATCTCTTTTAGGGGCAGCTTGAAGGTTTGAGATGTCACAACACACTGAAAGAATGAACAAAGAGGCCGAGAAAGCTCCTGCCAACTCATGGCAAGGTGACATATTTTCCCAATGACGTCCTGTGATGATGACTTTTTGCCAGTATTTTCTATGGAGCTAGTTCCAAGGCATCTTTACTTAAGATTTTGTAATAGAAGATTCTGTCTCCTTCCTCTGTTCTAATCCAAATACAGGACATCCTTTTAACCTTGGGAAAATCCTGGTTTATACTTAGTGTAAAGGCGAGAGGAAGATATTTCTGAAAATCCTCCTCACCTCTGCTGTCTTTGCTTCACTCCTTCGGAGGACAGGGCCTTCTGGATCCAGAGCCAATGACACAGTCATGCTCCTTTAAGGACCCCTTAGTATGAACACTGAAGGGCACTGTGGAAATGTATGAATTAGGGGTCATTGCCATTGGTATCCTTCCCCAGCTTAACACCAGCTGACTCTCCACTCTGGTCTCCATTAGAGCCTCTAGCATAGCCCAGAGAGGTTGTGCATGTAATCTCTCCCCCCACCTCATCAGGCAGCCCTAGGAAGTACTTTTCCGCCAAAGCAGTTCTTTGATAATGAGTTAACTGATAATCCAATTGGCCACTTGATTATCCTGGTCTCCCAACACAGGTTTTTGTTTTGTTTTTTAATTCCAATTGTAATTTTACCCAGTTACTACTGCAAAGAACTATCGAAAAATAATTTTGATTTATAAACAATTAATTTTCCCAAACTTGCTATTCTTGTATTTTAAAAATATATATTTTATTGATTTTTTTACAGAAAGGAAGGGAGAGAGATAGAGTTAGAAACATCGATGAGAGAGAAACATTGATTAGCTGCCTCCTGCATACCTCCCACTGGGGATGTGCCTGCAACCAAGGTACATGCCCTTGACTGGAATTGAAACTGGGCCTCTTCAGTCCACAGGCTGATGCTCTATCCACTGAGCTATTCTTGAATAGGTTTCAGCTATTCTTGTATTTTTATATATAATTAAAATCTCAGCAAATCCCAGGAGAATATCAATTTCCATGTATCAATACTCATGAGATGCAGACTTGATATGTTTCTCTATTGTGAGCTCCCAATAATGATTGCATTTACGCCATAAAATAAAATCAGCTTGGAAAAACCCAAGAAGTTGACTAATAGTTGAAAGGTGAATTCTGAAAGATCTCTTATTCAAATGTTTCTTTAAGGTAAAAAAGTATTTTACTATAACACTGCAGAAATAATTGTAGTGAACCAGATCTTCTCATGACCCCTTAGTAAGAGAAGCCCAAAGAATTGGGGGTGGTCCTCCTAAAGGAAGCTTAATAATAACTCCTACTGGTATAAGTAAGTGCTATATCATTACTGAGATGGCAAAACCAGGCTTAAATGAACAACAAATAAAATATTAACAAATACTTGGAAACCTATTATTTGGCTGACATTGGACTAAGATCCATGATAAAGACAAGACATATCTAACATTATTTCAGTCTTCAAGCATTTATATGTCTGTCTCCCATTTCAAAATTGAAAAAAAAAAGAAGAGATTTTAGAGTCCATGTTCTTTCTTCTTAGTGTCCATATAAGTCAGGCCTCATCTCCCCGTTCATTTTCAAGAAAGATGTTGAACATTCTGACTTTTCAGGCCCACACTGCTCCTGGGTCACAGCTGTTTCTGAATAGCTTCTGGATGGACTGAATGAAGGCAGAATACCTCACTGGCACCACAGGATGCTTTCTTCTCTTGGGAAAGTCCTGAGCTGCCACTGTCCTTGTCCAACCGAATCTGTTCCTGCATCTGCTGCCTCCCGTGTCTGAGGTCTGGACAGAGCAGCAGCCGCTGATCTTGACCTGCCAGCTGGTATCTTAGCAACTGCTCTTGGGCCTCTTTCCAGTTCCCAGGCTCCTGCATGCACATCTGCTGAGCAGGAGAGCCTGGAGCACAGGTGTGCACAGGGGATGTGACAGTGGTAGTGCTGGGAGCAGATACAATGACCTCTTCTCGGCCACCACCCTCCTCTTGAACAGAACAGCGGCTAACTTTCCTTCTTGACACCCCGTTTGCTGACTGGTGGGGGAGTTGGTTCAGCTTGCCCACCATGACCTTCATCTTCATATCTGTGAAAAAAGAAGATGGAGAAGAAATAAATTTAGTTCTCAATTACTCTTTAATTCATCTCCCCAAATACTTCATTAAGAATTTCCTAACTCATGAGTGTTTTATTTTTGTATTACATTGAGTATTGAGGGATATGTCAATTTATTTGTTATAAACAATCAGTGCTGGAAAACAAATCAGTTTCACTAAAAAGAGATGTTGATAGGAAGCCAGGAAGGCTGGTCAACAACCTTAATTGCTCTAACCACTCTCACTTTAGTTGAGACATTGTTAGCTGAAGCAGCCTCCACCTTGTTTGTCCTGTGTAAGTTTCTGTTATTTCCTGCCTAAGGGCTACATGTAAATTTCTATTTATGTTGCCTAAGATGTTTTCCCCAAAGTCTTAATAAAAGGGGATGGCAGAGACAGAGCAGGGAGTAGATCTCCCACTAGAGTTGGACTAGCGAATGGCCTCCCATATTGCCAAGTTGAATTTCAAGTCTCAAGTCTCTTCATTTGTGTGTGGCCCTTCTTCAGAACCTGAACCCTGAATTGGAACTCTTTCCATGCGAGCCGTGAAAGAGATTCCTATAAATAAAATGTATTGCCTGCCACTGTTGCTCGGAGGTTGAGTCACGGGTTCAATTCCTAATGAGGGCACTTGCCCAGGTTTTGGGCCTGATGCCCAGTAGGAGGCATGCAGGAGGCAGCTGATCCATATTTCTCATTGATGTTTCTCTCTCCCACTATCTCTGTCAAAAATCAATAAAAACATATTAAAAAATAATAAAGTATTATAGTTTAATTTTAAAAGTTTTATTCAATTATAGGTTTTTTAACAAAATAAAGAAAATTTAATGTTAATGAAAATGTTAACATTCGTATTCCCATATTTTGTGTGTTTTCTTGTTTGTTTTGTTTTTTGTAGAGAGAAAGGCTAATAATAATTTAACACACAATGACTGTAGCAATTATCACATGTTATATGTTAATCTTTATAACAACTCTGAACTAAGCACTATTATTATATCTGTTTTAGAAGGAGGTCCACTGAGGTGCAGAAGGATTAAGAACTTTCCAAGGCCATGTACAAAGTAGTGACAGATGTTACTTACTTCACAGAATTGAAGATTGCTAGCTCCAGAGTCTATATTCTAAGCACTACTTGATATTTTGTGAAGTGAAG